CCAATATAACCCCAATATAGTAGTTCCATTTTCTTTTCCATTATCCCAAAGAACCCCGGGCAGTAAGCTAATTGAGATGGTAGGGATAATGGAAAATGAACTGGAAACTACTATAATGGAGAATCAAATGGAAAAGAACATGGAAAATGAAATGGAAACTACTATAATGGAGAATCAAATAGAAAAGAAAATGGAAAACGAAATGGAAACTAGAGATGTAATAGGGTAGAATATTTGGGTTTTTCTAATAGTTTCTCAACAACGGGGGACCCCGATATAGACCTAAAGACCCCAAAATATTACAATCCTTCTGATAGGTGCCTCCACAAAGGGGCCCCTAATTTTGGGAAACCCTAAACCCTAAACCCTATGCATCCCTATATAACCCCTCTATATCTCACTGTATAACAGGGGAACCCATACCATGATGTGCCCTAAACCCTCGTAGTAGGCGAGCCCATACCATGGTATAAGCAGCTAGAGGATCCGCCCTACTTCCTCATCGTATTGCTAGTGCTTCCGATCATTGCGGGTGAGCTTTACATTCGCATTACTGGAAAGACGCCTGGCGATGCATTGAACGAGATTTTGTACCCGGACGTCCTGGCCGACTTGGGCGGCTAGAATGATGTCTGAATGCTGCGGTTACGCATGATGTGTTTTGTGGCTGTGCTCAAATTAAGTTCCTTCCCAAAGGGCCTTCTGCTAAGGAGCCCATGCCTGGGCAGTATTTAAGGTGGACACTGGTTTCCCTGAAGCAACCACCTAGCAAATGCCTCTTTCGTCCCAAGCTATGGTGTACCTTTGCCAGACTAGAGTCTAGAGGGTACCAGTATAGTTCGGTGGCCACAGCGCCCCGGTGGTGAGACTGCAGCCACTTCTTGTAAGGAAAGATCCTGAGACGCTGAGAACTGAGAACTTGCAAATGCTTGTTGATACGTAACAAATAGTCCCAGAAGCCAGAATGAAGTTATAGGGGCCTAAAGAATTATCAATATTATATAGGGGTTATATGGGGGTTATATAGGGGTTATATTGGGATAATGGAAAAGAAAATGGAGACTACTATTTAGGGTTTAGGGTTTAGTTCTCGGCGGGAGATTTTGTTTCTGGCAGCTGGCATTGGCTGGCTTGCAATTTTCCAGCGCGTGACGCGTTTCAACCTAACTATGCACCCAAACCCAGAGATCACGAATGTGTGATGCTGCACCGAAAAAGCGGCCATGTTGTGTGTGGGCACTGCGCCGTTCTGCAGATGTGTGGCCTTTGGTTAGCTGGGAATGAAGGAATAGAAAAGCAAATGGAACCTACCAGAATGAGTTATATAGGGATTACTATAGGGATCCATTCCTTCGGGTTCCCATCCCAGCTAACCAAATTCCAGATCTGTGTGAGCTTGACGTCTTGTCCGTTTTGCGACATCTGCAAGCCGTTGGCACAAGGTGCACTATGTTTCTGTCCCCGCTCGTCCCTACACAAGGAGCACACATGCAATCACATCTCATGCTAAAGAGCATACAGTTCCGCTTAGCGAATTTAGCGAGTCGGGCCCAATCCATTGGGTTGGGAGAAGCAACACAAGACCTTTTCCATGTCAGAGGCCTCAGTAGCTCCGTGCCCCCGCCATGAAGTGCTTGGGTGCTGTCTGCTTGCTACTCCACATTCGTGGCTTTCATGGTCGCAGCTGGTGGTGCGAAACGAGCAGCCGCACTGGCTGCCGCGGAACCCCGAGGCAGTTCATCCGACTTGCCCCCCACGGCCACGTCCCACCGCTGGGTGACATTGCAACAGATGTCACTGACGAACCTATCGTTGTGGACTGGAACAACGACGGCCAGTTGGACGTGATTCTCACAAACCTGCTTGGCACGCGCCTGTGGGAATTGAAGTCCGGCATCTATGTGGAAACAGAGCCCAACCCTTTCGAAGGAATTCGCGCTGGAGAATGCAGACCTGCAGTTGTGGACTGGAACGGTGACGGTTTCTTGGACCTCCTCGTAGGAACAGAAGATGGCATCAAGCACTATGAAAGGCGGGGTGGCAAGCTGGAGGACATTACTGGCCAGAGTCCATTCCAGGGCCTAGGCGTAGGACGTGGTTGTAGCAACCCTGCGATTGCGGATTTGGATGGTGATGGGGACAATGACCTCATGATCGGGCGTGTGTCCGAGTACCTCAGCTACTTCGAGCAGACTTCTGATGGCAGATTTGTGGCCCGCAGCAGCCCAGTTGGTGACATCGATTTAGACAGACCCATGCTTGCTGACTGGGATGGCGACGGGCGCATGGACGTGATGTTCCTGGAAGAGTTTAACCGTCGAGTGCCCAGGATGTTTGCGGCCAGCCTTGCCCAGAGCGAAACCTGCTGTCCGGTGCACATTTTCTTGCAGAAAGCCGCCGGCAACTTCACTCGAGTGGATAGCCTTCACGGGCCGTCTACGCCAGGCTTTGGTTGCAGGAACTTCGGTTGTATGGGGTTTTCGCTTGTTGACCTGGACAACGATGGTGACTTGGATGCAGTATTCGGCCAGCCGTTTTCAGGCCACATGCTCAAACATTTTGAGCACAGACTCCGGCCAGATCAGCCACTAGATTATCTGGCAGAGCCATCTGAAACGCAGTCGGACTCCGTGCACATCGATATGCTCCGACTTCCGTACAAGCGTGTGGGTGCTGTGGTTACGGTGTCGCCAGTTCTGGCAGACTGGGATCTCGACGGGGATCTTGATCTGGCTCTGTTCCTTGATGTTGGAGCAAAGAATGCGAAAAGAGATCCGGTGAGTTCAGGGGCGCTCAAATGTACATTTGTTGTTGCATTGAAACTTGTTGACTCAGGTTGGACTGGGCATACCCAGAGCAATCCCGCTTCTTTGAGCACCAAGCCGACGACAAGGTCTCCGAGCTACGGGGGCCGCCTCTGCAGAACAGTTCTTGCCCTGTCGACCTCCGTGTTCGTTTCGGCATGCCTGATGTGGACGGCGATGGCAAGGCAGACTTGGTCGGCTTTGGTGAAACCATTTTTGGGATGTGGCGGCCGGTGGCCTGTGTCCAAAAATTTTCTGAGTTTGTCCCAGTAGCGCCGGAGTCTGATCCATTTCCGTTCGCCACCTGGTCGAAAATTCTGCGGGACACTGTCCCAACATTTTTGGATTGGGATGGTGATGGAGATGTGGACTTCTTAAGGATAGCGGAGGAGATTGACAATAGCCTGATACTGCTCGAGCAGCTGCCTGATGCTAGGTGGGTCAGCCATACACTGCCAGTGCCTCGGGCCCGTGACTTTGCTGTTGGAGACTTTGACGGGGACGGTGACATTGACCTCGTCATTGCTGCCTACGAACAGTATCACTGTCGCTACTTCGAGCGGAGGGCCGATGGAGGTCTGGCAGAGATCGTTGATCGGGACAACCCGTTCAGCGCATTTTGCGGGCTCGTTGATGGAATACTTTCATCCCCGTTCTCAACGATTGCCATGGGAGATTGGAACATGGATGGAGAGATGGACATGCTTCGGGTGGAGCGAAGCAAAGTGACGTTGTGGATTAACAGTCCCATGGATGAGTTCATCGAGCAAACCGGCAAGAATAATCCGCTCCCAGATGATGATCTACCATCAGATGTCAGTCTGGTTGATGTGGATGCAGATGGCGATTTGGACTTGGTATTGACGACGAAATTTGCCATTGGGAAATCTCTATGGACATACCTCGAGCACAGACCCAATGGAAAGCTCTTCAAGCATCCCAGCACGAATCGATTTACTCAGGTGCCGGTAGCGCATGAAGACAGTGGTGGTAGCAAAAGCATGACAACAGTGGCTGATGTAGATGGTGACGGGCTGTTGGACGTGGTCTATCCAAACCTCGAGTATGCAAAGCAGCATTCAAATGGGAGCTTCAGCCTGCTCACAGGGCTGGACAATCCGTTTCACAGCGTGCCGACCAATTCCGATTGTTGCTGGACGCTGGTTGACTGGGACAAGGATGGCGACTTGGACTTGGTGCAGTTCTACCGGAATGACTCAAGGTTAGACACCATGAACGATGCTGTTGAAGCGCTTACGGAGCACTTCCAGCACATGCACCTGTACGAGCAAGCAAACGGCAGCTTCTCAGAGATCGAGGGTGCAGCGAGCCCGTTTTACAGCATGAACTTCCGTCCCCCTCCTGAGTCTATGTTTGTTTGTCCTGCCTTGTTCGACTTCGACGGCGATGGCAACCTGGAGCTGGCGTTGGTGGATTCGAAGGGGTCCTTTTTCTACTTCGTGAATGAAGGAGGCAACTTCACTTTGGCTCCTTCCAGCCCCTTCGGCAACGTGCGGATCGAACCTCCTGCACGGGAACTGCACCATCTCCGCCCTGTCCATATTTGGCTAGTGGATTGGGATGGGGACGGCTTGGATGACCTGGTAGTACGTACGAAGACAAGAATGCAGTACTTTCGGCGCGGGGCCTGCGCACCGCTGCCCACAAACTCGTTTTGTAAATTTGGTTCATGCAATCAGAAAACATCCCAGTGCAAATGTGTGTCTGGTGCCATGGGGCAGGAGTGTGGTATCTGTGACATGTATCATTTCCGTACAGAGGATGCATGTGGGAAGTGCCCTGGCTATGGCACCAAAGCGGGCGCTTGCAGCCGACGAGGCGTTTGCAATGATGATGCTGGGTTGCTTTGGATTAAATTACTATAATACGGACACCTTATTATCTATTATGTAGTGTACCCATATTATGATAACTTGGTTTAAGTTCCTTAAAAGCAACCCAGGATGTGGATGCGCGAGACAACGCCACGGCCAGCAATCTCACAGGCTTCCAGGTCGTCGCAGCCAGAGGACCGGCGTTGCTCCCCTCAAATCTGGGTGTTCACAAGCTGCCCCCATATAATCCTCGATGGGAGCCCCCATACTCCTCTGATTGTCCACATATTTCGATTGGGCCCATAGGGTACCCCTATTTTGAGAGACCCAGCTGTCTCCCCACGACAGTCCTGCGATGTTTTCAGCCTGCAATCCTGTCAGCAGTGCTTTGGCAGGAACGGGCCAATGCCAGTGTCTGGAACCTTTCCATGGCACGGACTGTAGTCAGGGGCTCCTGGGCCGCCAGGAGACGTTGGAAGGGGAGCTTCAGCGAAGGGCGGAGGTTAGAGAGATGAAAAGGTTGGGCTCAGGGTTTCAGCTGCCCTTTGTTGATGAATTGGATCATGTGTACCATAAGACATGATCATGTTCCTCGGTTCCTACTTGTACTACAACACAATGCAAGTCGCACTTTGCTTTGGTCATGATGTGGTCTTTATGTGCTTGCAAAGCATGTGCTCCGTGACGGAGTTGAAGCTAGATATTTAAAACGGCGGACGCCTTAGACCCTGCCGGAAACCTGTTGTGCCAAGATCCCATGCTACGGAGAACGTTCTGGTGGCGTAGCAGATATTTCAGAATGAGTAGTCGTTTCTGCAGTAGAGATCACTTGGTGGACCAATTTTCCTTGGAGCTCTAGGATGCAGCAAAACCAGCACGATCGACATACCCCATGCTAGCTCAACGTGAGAATTAAAGCCCTGAAGCATAAACCGCTGGCAACTAAACTTTTCACCCAAGGTCCTTAAGAGATGGTGGGTGAGGGATCTATTTAGCAATCCCCATGGAATCCTCATGTCCCCTTATTCAAGCTACGAGCCAAAAACCTAGACCCCAACTCATTCCCCTTTACCCTAAACCCTAAACCCTTAACCCTAAACCCCATGAAGAGCGAAAGTCGACCTTGCCACCAAGGTTGTGCCCGCCAGGACAACGACCGGACCGACATGCGCAAACTTACTTGACAAGCGACAAGCATCCTGACCAAAGTCTAGGTCCAGGGTTGGGGCTCAGGGATTTTGAGCTCAGAGGTCACCGTTCGCTACTCATTACCCGCGTTGGGGAGTTTGCAGTTCACCCTTTCCCCAATAGCATTCAGAGGTTCGACACCGTTGCTGTACCTACACGCAAGTGGTAGTTTCCCAAAAAGGGGGGACCCCGATATAGACCCCAAAGTACTACATTCCTCATTATTGGGATCCCCCAAAAAGGTACCCCAAATTTTGGGAAACTCCCGAGTATAGTTGCTGTTTTTTGAGCACAGAAGTAACCCTAAACCCCAAACCGCAGTGGCTTAGCCTGAGCTTCCCAAGGTACCGGGAATGGGAGGCCTGTGCACCGTGCCAGCCGGGTCGCTACAAGAAGGAGATGGGCAACGGCGATTCTGGGCGGCCGTTCAGTCAAGGTGCCATCATGTGGATTTTTTTGAAGCAATGTGGTTTCCTTATGATGGCACTTTTTTTTCAGTTCCACCCAGGATTGTTCCAATTGCCCTCTGGACCACGTCCCCGCTGCCGGCCACATTAAAGTAGAGTTTCAGAGAAATGATGCAGCAACAAAATCATGAGTTTTGTCCATCATACACAGCACCGTGTTAGCTATAGTCTAGACTCCTTCGAGGGGGTTTATATAGGAGATTATGTAGGGGACTACTATAGGGGATATTAAGGGGTATACCAGGAGTTTAGACGAAAAAAAGCTCATGTAGCAAATCGCTGGAGTAGCCCTTCCAGGCCTTCCGCTTGTCTTCAAGACCAGAGGGAAACGGATTTTGAATTGCTATTTCTACTGTATAGCAACATTATTCATATGATCTATAATCTAAAATTCTTAAAGGGGGGTTATATAGCAGATTATATAGGGGACTACTGTAGGGGATATTAAGGGGGATACTAGGAGTGTAGACTATGACTCAAATAAGTATTTTGTAGTATTAGTATTCGTATTCGTGCTGATCGTCTTCGTATTCGTACTAGTATTTGTGCTTCCCAGGGTGCCCAGCCTTCCAAGGCTGCCGACAATGCCAGCTGCGTTCCATGTGAGGCTGGCTAGCTGGTTGCTGGCTAGACGGGAAGGGCTGCAGTTAGGATTACAGTGATTACAGAGGTTTATCCAAAATATGAATCTTACGAGCACAATTTGAGCTTCAGGCCTACAACTCTCTTTGCCAATCGATGCCGGTTCTGTTCGAAAGCCTTTTCGAATCCTATCAGGAGCTTGCCCTTTATTGCAGCCTTCAGCCTTCATCTCAGAGAAGGATGTCATATCCTGATGCATGAACGGATACGAAATTGATGAGACATTAGCAATTGCCAAAAATGCTAAACCCGTGCAAAGATGAGTAGCGCTAGTCGGTTGATGAGGGCATTCTGGAAGAGCATGGTAAAAACTGGAAGAGTGTTATTGGAGTTTAGGTTTTCTTGCCTTCAATACTAAACGCCCCCATCGCCAATAGTACTTGGTCCCCAGAATCGCCTCTTCACGCCCGAATGTCTTGGAGGCTTTGTTTAGTTTTGTGAGGAACGGATTGATGATGGTGTGCAAACCGACAACGATTAGACAGCTTGTCAAACTTGTCTGTTGAGTATGGTGGTTTCCTGGTAGTGCAAAATCGAAAGGTATGCCCAAAGGCTACTGCACAACATCATGCCCTGCCAGACAAGACGTCTATAGCAAAGCACGGCCACCCTGTCCAAAGAATGAACTGTTGCTCAGAATCGGGGTGTCCGCACGCATACGCCCCAAACTTTCAAGCCTCCCAGAATTACTGTTATCATCACCTTTTTCTTATGAATAAGACCATTACCGTTACTTCCACTATTGAGAGACGTCCCCCCAATTAAGTTCAAACCTATTTGAAATCAACTAACGCTTATCACAATCTCAATGAAATCTTGTAGCACCAATTGAAAGCTCATTAGATTCAATTGGAACTAAGTTGAAACGTGATAAACATCACAGTAACCCTAGTTAAAATTAATCTAGATCTGATCTAAAATTTACTTCTAGTCACGGTTCGAATTAAAGTCACGAGAACATTTAACTGGAATCTAAGCGAAATCCCGTGAAAGTCGACTAGGTTCTAACTTGTTTAGTACCTAGTCAGAATCAAGGTAAACCTAATTACAATCATGAATTTAACATGGTATTAAAATCAATCAAATCTATGTAATGTCTATTCAAAGGCCATGCAAAAAAGAGTTACAATCGTAACAAAACCAATCAAAGCCACACTCAGCCTGTGTAGAAATTCTTGTCTCAAAACTGTATAAAAAACCCCAAGTTCACCAGTACGAGTTTCAAAGGTAGCCTTGGCCTTTTCTTGACTCAGATTCTTTGGGAAAAGTATGTAATGTAGCGAGAGAGTTTTTTTAGCAGGAAGAGATTAGTAAGTAGCATCTTCAATTCGGACCCTGAGGCTCTCATGTCCGCCAAGAGGTGTTTTGGATCTGGACAAGTTTGGACCCCTCAAGGTTCCGACGCTAGCATAGCGAGCCGAAAAATTGAACAGACAATACCACTACAATCCTTGCGCAGTGGGAGGGGTCGAAAGCATCATTCAGTTTATTTCGCCTCTATAGTAGATAAAAGTCGAGATAGTCCCTATCTGTCCCCACATTATGCCTTTTCTAACCCTTAATGACCCATATTGCGTCTTAAGCTGAGAACCCTTTAAATTCTTACATAATGCTTCCATTAACCTTCAGGGTCCTGACATCAGTCAGTTTGAAAGCTGTGAACAGGCAGGCACCACTTCGCCTGGCAACCGGCAAGAGTGCAGTCCCTGCGAGGAAGGCCGGGTCATGGCATGCCCAGACTACTGGGTTGCTGTTATGGAACTTACATTAAGTTATCGGACACGGGTATATGGAGTTAAGGGTTTCGGATTTAGGGTTTAAGCTGCATGGGTATATAGTAATGGGGTTTCATTGTTATGGTAAGTTGAAGTTCTTTGGCAGCAACCCAGGCTAGAGAAGTGAAGGGCTTTGCGCTAGAAATAATCATCACCAATCCTCATTGGTGTTGCATACAATCTAGCATTTGTGTCTCGATTTACCTGCACAATCTAGCATACAGGGAGTTTTCGTCGTTAGAGAGAGTGGGTTAGGCTTTAGCTGGAGGGTCATAAAATGCGAGGGTGCGATCAGAGGTTTGGCATGTTGAAAGGGTTGAATAAACCATCTGTCGTGCTCTAACAGGCTCACTACCTTTAAAGGGGGGCCTCAGAATTCTTCGGGGATGCAACTTGAGTGCGCCAGGCTCCGTGGCCGTCCCGGGCAAGCGTTGCAAGGGCTGCCCGAAAGGCAGCGCCCCGAACGCGGCGCGGAGCGCGTGTGAGCCTTGCGGGGCTGGCCAGTATGCGCCGGCCCGTGCCCCTCAGCCTCCTGGGCAGCACTTGGGGATGTTTGTCTTGGAACATGCTTGAACAGAGAATGCCACGAGCAGCTTGACTCCAATGCTAGGTGCAGCTTCTGTCCTGAAGGTTCCGTTCCGGACCCGCGCAACAGCAGGGGCAGCTATGTGAAGTGCACGGGTCGAAAGTATGCACGTCGTGGAGACGAAACTTGCCAGATCTGCAGCTTTCCATCGATGATCCTCTTTGATACGAACTGGTGCACTTCCTTGTGGACTGCCCTGTTCCTGACTGCGTTCATCCTCCTGGTGCTGTTGATTCTGGGTGTCCTTGGGTTCATCCGCCTCGCCTGCCTCAAGAAAAGGCTGGATGCACACGTCAAAGCCAAGAGGTGGCCGGAGCTTTATGCTACGCAGACCACCCTGGTGGAGTACGGCCTTTGGAGGAATAAGGCTGTGGGACTCGTCGCTGCGTGCAAGGCCGAGGTCAAGGAAAAGTCGTTCCAGCTCGGAATATCTCTGCAGTACGTCTTCGACCATTTGGAGCAGGTGGGGCTAAGAAGCAGAATTCTCCGTACTATTTACACCACCGCCGCACCCCCCCTGCGACCGCCGCTGCCATAGCCGCCGCCACAGCTACCGCCGCCATCCGCCATAGCTGCCAGTGCCACGGCGACAGTCGCCAACGCCCCCGCCATACTTAGCTGCCACCGCCACCGCCACACCCGCTATAGCCGCCACACCGCCACACCGCCACACCGCCGCAACGCCGCTACTGCACCATGCGCCACTGCGCCACAGCCACCGCAGTACCACCTTGCGCCGTGTTAATCCCTAACACATAATGAGCTCCTTGAAAAGGGCCCCACGTCTCATTAGACTTCTTCAGGTGTACACGGCCAAGGCGCAGGAGGCCGAGTGGCGCGTGGATCAGTGGCCGTGTACTCGCAGTGGCTATTCGGTGAAAGTCCGCAACTGCGGCATCAAGCTGGAGGTCTCTTCGGGGGTTCAGAGGGCCATGTGGGGGTCGTACAATTTTGAATGTTTGTGTCAAACTTCTGGGTTCCCGATGAAGGGATCCTTATACTTGGGAGTATAGCGTAAGCTGAATGTTTAGAACTGCCCAGGTCGACGAGGAGGATGCGTGGAAGGCCTTGCCAGTCTGCGCGTATCCCAGGAATCCGAACTTCCACCAGGTCGCAAGCGTTTTGACTTACGGCCCCTGGGCCCTCGGCAAGAATCAATACTGCCCACGTGACGGACGAAGAGACTGTGGCGTCGTGGATGCCTTACAGGGGTCGCAAAGTGGAAGGGCTACTTGGTTTATGTCTTGGGCTTGGGGTTACGAGTTCGAGACGGTCTTGAAGGCACTGAAGAGATGGTGGGCAAGACAGCAAGTCGTTTCAGGTGCAGCAGATCAAGGTAGTGGTGGTGCCGGGAAGGTCTTCATCTGGTGGTGTGTCTTCGTGAATAACCAGTTTCGTATGCTGGAAGAAGGTTTGACAGAGGAGGCGGGCAATCTCTTTGAGGTCTTTGGCAAGAACCTTGAAGGGATCGGCAAAATGCTGATGTGCATGGACCGGCTGAAAGGTGGTTCCTATACAAGCGGCATTGTGGACCACCTCC